GTAGGCTTTGTAAAGTGTGTAAACCCATAAGAGTGTCATAATTAACTGTAGTTAGGTTAGGTTGCTAATTAAACCAATTAACAATCCGAACGACGTCTTCAGTAGTCATACTCGTTACAATATTTAATTCAACGCTTTAAAGACAGAATTCGTTCTAAATAATATATAAAAACTGAGTACGTACCTCACAGGGAACATATTACTTCACCACTACAAAGCCCAACCCTTTAACGCTGTTTAGGGAAACAGTCGCTTTTCTCTGCTAGAATCATACGGAACACTGTGTGAGTGGAATATACAGTTTCAATATTTTTACCTTTAAACGCCGGACTTCGAAATAGTGGTAAGCTTGAGCTGGCCGCAGTATATTTAAATGCCCGCTGCTGGTGCGCGTTTACGAGTAAATGCCCGTTGCTACTCTGCGTTTAAATGTCCGTTCCTGTTAGGCGCTTAATGAATTTTAAGCGTTGTGTTTAAAAATGCTGTATCTAGCTCAATTTTTATGATAAATGGATGGAATTAACTTTGTTTATATCAGAAAAGAACATAGTGTCGCATATTATAACGGAAGATTTTAAATTTTTAATACAAAGTGTTATACCCTATTTTCAATTTTTTGTTTTAATTTTGATGTGTACTGCAAAAATTGTTTCCCAGTTCTTCACAGAGTTGTTCTGCATTATAAATTCATTTCTGTTTATAACACTTGACAAATTTTAGCAGTCCCTGGTGTCATAAAACAGATGGAAGCAATAAAATCATTTGGTCTCCTGCTAGCACTGCTTACACCCTTCGGATTTTCGAATCTTTGACTGAAGGTCAGAAGAATGAAAGCATGGCTATTCAAGAGAAAGCTAGAAGGGTCCCTTCTTCAGTGCTAAGACCTTCCGTTAGAACTGCAAAAGCTTATTGCCCCTTCTATTTGAATGAACAGACAGCTGCATCGTGGCTGAGATACAGAGCGCGATCTGTTTTATGTGCATTTGTAGTGAAATCGAATACTGTAGTTTTATTTGAACCTATAAATACATCAAGCAGGTAACAACAAAAAAGGTATGTACATCGAATTTTACAATATATTTTTAACATACCTATCTGCAGAATCTGCAATAAAATTACTGGATCATAGATAAGTTTTGGCATAACTCATATGTATATTGTTATTAGCTGTTGTTCAGTTAGGTATTATTTTAATTCCTCTATTAGGGTTTTACTGAAGTCTGTCTGGTAATTACTACATTTAAAAATAAGTATTTAGGACTGTGCATGCGCTTCTACTAGCAGCGTGTGTGCGCGCTTCCACTAGTGGAGTTTAAATGCCTGACTGGCCAAAACGGGGTACTTTGGCCACGACGACCTTACTCATGACTGCCACAAACGGGGCACTTCGGCACTTAAAGGTTAAAGCAGATGGTACATATAGTAACCACTGGGCCTTTAAGATTTAACACTAACACAATGTAGCGGAAATTGAAAGTGGCTGAATAAATTTCCCCCTCTTATGAAACCCGAAGTTTTATGACCATGTTCCAGTCAGAAAGCGGTCATGAAATATACATATAATTTAATAAACAACAAATCCTTAATTCGCCCTATATGTTTATTTTTATTAATATTTTTTTTTATATGTTTAGTATGCTTAATGGATGAAATATGTACGGTGAGCAGGTCACATGTAGGGGTAACTTATAGACGGGTTTTGGATTGGCTGATCGGTTTTATTGATATCTTATACGTTTGTGGGACTACAGACAATTACAGCACTGTCGCTGATTTACACTTTTTACAGCCACCGTTGCGCACGCACTAGGATTCTCAGTCTTCACTAGCCGTATCCTGGAGACGGATTCGTAACAGTCTCACTGTCACTTCAAATCACACATGAAGTCTTCTTTTCATAACCGAAGTCTCTTCTTCCCATTGTTCCGAAACTTGACTCTGAACTCCTCGACTACTACTGTTCTGTACTATACGGACCACGCAGCAAACACAGTCTATATTGTTTATGAGGCGTGTTTACCGCGCCGTTGTCTAATAATAGACGTTCTATTATCGCGCGAGTTGGGATGTATTTACTGAGTCGTTGCCTAGGAATGGGTATACACGTCACAATATGTTGTCTTAGGTTGTTGTTGTGTGACTAGAATACCAGAAAGATACAACTTCTGTAATAATGTCTGTAAGGGTTCATTACCGTGTTCCAAATGTCCGACATTAGACTGTGCTCTGATCTACGTTCACGTAACAGTTAAATCTGAAACTTTCATCTCAATTGATTGGCTAACATTTGTTTGTACCTAGCAACTGATATGTTACTGTGCACTGATATCGGCGAGCTGTGCATTCCCCGCCTGTTATTGACAGCGCTCCACGCCAGACGCAAATGCTGCACGGGAGAGAGCATCAGCGCTGAGTATGACGGCTCCGCTTCTGGAGGGTTATGCATTCGTTACAGTTCGAGTGTCACTCAAGTGGCCATAACGTTCACTCGCGAAAATGGGTCTGGTTGCGGATAAAATTATGACGTCATATACAGATGACGTGCCCCACGGTTATGAAGAAACTTGTCAATCAATACCTCTAAACGCGAAATGATACTTGCACTGTTGAATGGAATCAACTCTATGGAGCAGAGGAACTGACAGTCATTAGAAAGTGTAGAAGAACCTTAAGGTTCATTATCTGGACCTTATCTTGATGAAACTGAACCATGTCCCCACCCTATCTTCCCATTTTACTTACATACGTTTTAATATTTCCCTTCTATTTATGCGACCGCCTCTGTGGTCTAGTGGTCAGAGTTCCTGGCTACAGATCCAGAGGTCCCGAGTTCGATTCCTGGCGATACAAGATTTTATCAGAAATAGTGGGTCTGGAACGGGGTCCACTCGGCCTCGTGAGGATAATTGAGGAGTTATTTCAAGGAAATAGCGGCTCCGGTCTAGAAAACCGAGATTAGCGGCCGTGGAGGTCCGCTGGGCTGACCACGTGACACCCTCTATCCGCAAAAGCTGGCACCAAGTTCGCCGAGAATCGGTGGTCGCTCGGTCGGTGTAGTTCGCTTGCCGACTACAGGTCATGGAGTTCTTGTTTTATTTATGCTGACGTCACCTGGTTATCTCTTCCATTTGGTTAATCAACAAAAATTCTGGTAGAATTTCTCATCTGACCCTGTATTCTGCACGTCCCTAATAATTGTTTGTGGAGAGTGCAAATGAAGAAGCTCCTTACTGGGTAATAATCTCGGTTTACACTCACTTAGGTCTAAATGCCTTATTCGTTGCACTGTTCTCAAATTTATTCAAACTATTTCCTCCTAGTGTATGACACCAATATCACATTACTCGTACACTTCTCCGAGTGGAAGCATCGCTGTCTGTTTATAACAAAGAAATGTACAGCTTCATAGATGTCAGATAAAGGTTATGTTCTCCGAATGAGACGTATGTATTCGTAATACTTTTCATTTGATTGTATTACATTTTATGCTGAAAAATATTAATTATAGAAATGGGTGGCCCATGTGCACATTAATGTTGTATACAAAGCAAAGATATTCATGCTATAATATGTAATAAAAATAATTAAAATTATTAAAATATTTGTAACCGTGTAGTGGTGTTCATGGCTGGATATATCCGCCATCTCTGACGCATAGCCAAAATGGTGGACATCATCGATATGAAACACGCCATTTCAGCCATAATGACCACTAAATTATGGTACAAATTTTAACATTTGTAATTAATTTTATCACACGTTTTACCATAAGATATTTTCCTCACATTTTACGTCATAAACGTGCGGATGGTTCTTCCGTGAAGATAACTAATATCTCAAGGCCGCGCCATAGCTCAAGCGGTTAATCGCTGGCTTCCCACCGCGGCGGCCCGGGTTCTATCCCGGGTCTGGTCAAGTGGGATTTGTGGTAGACAAAGTGGCGCTGGGGCAGGTTTTCTCCGAGTACTTCGGTTTCCCCTGCCAATGTTCATTCCACCAATTGCTCCACAATCACCCTCACCTATCATCTGGGGCTGGTACAATAGGCCAGAAGTGGCCGCAGTACAAGGGACTTAGTCCCACCCCAGTAGCAACAAAAAAAATACCTAATATCTCTCACGATGGCAAACGTTAATTCCGAAACATGCAACCATTAAACGGTAAAAGTAAAGTTGTCGCTTTACTCAATTAAGCACCACACAATGTAGACTGGTGTGAAGATATGGCTTCACTATTCTACATCTCGGCATTGGATGTAGGTGAGTGGTCAGCTTCACGCCCATGCAACTTTACCCCTGGTGGACATTGGATAGGAGGCTGTGTGCGTCTCAGAGCCAGTCTGAATACTATGAAATTGAGGTAAATCTGGGATCCTTGCCAGGAATCGAACCCCGACCGTCCAGCCTATAGCTCGTAACTATACCGACTGAGCTACCCCGGCTCGACATGTTACCATTATTGGTTTCTAATAAATTTGTCGTTGGGCTGAAAAATATATGTATATATTATTTTAAGTATCCATCGGTCTATCTTCAGATAGATGATAAAAAAATCGTAATCCAGTGACCTTAATTATGTGTCATTGTGGGTGTGGTCTGCATTTTGTCTCAGCGGCTATTATAATTGCAGACCATCCACGTCTTGAGTGAGATTCGAACCCACAATCCCAGCGTTTGAGCGGGAGAAGACAGTCCGTGCCTTAGACCGGTTTAACGATTACCGGAAGCTTTTTCCCCAGACTGAGGCGTCCGAGTCGTGAATCTGACCATTCACCTGTACCTAATGTCGATGTCAAGAATTGTGGAACTGTTCCTCTACTTCCCCATTCATGTACATGGTAGTGTTTAAGTATTTACATACAGGGACAACGTTAGTTCTGCCTCTTACACCCTCCAGTGCAAATAATTTATTGAAGTCCTTCATGCAGGTCAGACGTTTTGCCAATCGTCCCTGTTGAGCAAGAACAAACACTTAACAATTTGCGCTGTTTGTTGTGACAGGTAACAGCTTCATGTGCGACTGTCGGCTGTCCTGGATGTACTTACTGAGGAATGAGACACCCAGTGAGCAGATCCTTAACAGCTTGGACGAACTGACATGTCGGTTGGGACCTGAGGTTGGCGACTACCAGGACCATGATGCCAGCGACCTGATGTACACCACAGAACATCCTCACATCAACAGCCGAGGGTACGGGGAGGACCTGGCCACTGGTTACGGCCACGACAGCGATGGACGTCGTGGACAACCGGATGCTCCAACACTTGAGCCGAGGAACTTGAAACACCTGTTCGACATCCCACAGGAACAACTGCCTTGTCCCGAGGACCTGCAGTTAGAAGCCCATCCAACATTCCCCTTTGAGTTCAATTCAGAATTTGGACAAGGACGTGAAATGAATGCTGGTGTTGAAGCCCAAGTCATATCCTCTCTGTTTATCTTTAACTTTGTTTTAATGCTGGTCACGTGAGGGAACTATATTAGATTATTGTGGGGTGATATGCAGATTTAAGCTCTTTAAAAGTATTTGTGATTTTCATTGTAAGAGTGTTTGTGTTGTAATTATTTTCTCTTGTGAAGAGACTCTTGAGTAGATGCCGAAGTATTGTGCGAATTCGGCTGCTTGTTTCATCACTGTTTCTGCTTCTTGACATCACCAAAAACATGTTTAAAATACTCAGACACACACACAAAATTAATTAATTTTCATCCAGAAATATTTCACGAAATTTCCGTGGCATAGTTTCCATTTTCCGATTGTAAGAAAGATGTATATTCATTTTGGTTTTTCAATTATTCCATCATCCACGGGACATATTCTCTGAAAATAGATCGTCATTTGAACAATGGCACATGATACACGTCCTCATATATCTAACTCGACAGAATGTGTTTCTCTCCTGTCTTGAACTAATCGTGGCTAATTTCAGGGTTTCTCTTCTCCCTCGGCAACGAAAAGCCAAGTCAAGTCACTAGCACATTGAACCTTCACACAATTCCATGAGAGTTTCTGTCTGTTTAAAACGAAGTTCTACATTAATGTGAGACACAACAGGGCTGGGTGGCACTGGCTTTGTCTTAAGTTGTTACTGCTTGGATATTAATACTGGTCGCATAATTATTGGTCGATTTGCCCAACGCCAAAATTGGCGCAGGAACTTCATGGAGACAATCAGTACACCTTGCGTTAAAATTATGTTTTTTATTAAGGCGTTGTCCATTTTATCTCTGGTCCTAAGTATTTCTGCTCTGGTGTTCAAGCTCATGACACAAATCCTTGCTGACTTCCACGGAACCGAGCGGGTTAGTTTAGCATTGACGCTCATCACTTGAAGCCTGAAGTGCTTGGTGTGAGCCTGGGAGAGGACACTCGATACCCTAACTGAAAACTTTCATAATTTTCCCAGCGCCTCCAGGTAATTATGGGTTAATATCTTGATTAAGCCATTAGAGTTCCTTTCCATGTCCTTTCCAGTTCAACGTTTAGCAACCATACTGCCGCTTGTTACTGTATGCATACTGACAGAGGCGTAAGGTAACTCACAAACAGAAAATAAAGGGGTAATATTTCGCCCTTCTTAGGGTTTTATGAGCTCCCTTGTTTGAGCTTACAAAGCACCATTTCTCCAGTTTACAAAACCACTGACAACAAGAAGGACACAATGTCTGTCACAGCAACTAGTGCACAGAATATTGATGTCCATTAGAAACTTGCAAAAGGCCAGACGTGTACACATCTTTATAAACATCTTGCACTGGGATCCACCCTTATCAGTTTGTGTGCTTACGTCACTGCCTACTAATTTTAGTTGCATTTACACTCAGTAGTTAATATTGCCATTTGTATTTTTTTATTGCTAGTGGGGTGGGACTAAGTCCCTTGTACTGCGGCCACTTCCGGCCTATTGTACCAGCCACAGATGATAGGTGGGGGTGATTTTGGAGGTATTGGTGGAATGAAGATTGGCAGGGGAAACCGAAGTACTCGGAGAAAACCTGCCCCAGCGCCACTTTGTCCACCACAGATTCCACTTGACCAGACCCAGGATCGCACCCGGGCCGTCGCGGTGTGAAGCCAGCGACTAACCGCTTGTGCTATGGCGCGGCCTTTGCCATGTGTAGGGGTGACTTATAAGACGGGTTCTGGATTGAATGATTGGATTCATTCCACCTCATAGACAGTACTCGGAGCTATAGGCAATGCAACGCTATCGCTGATCTACATAGTTCACAGTTCACCCTTACACGCGCACTAGGATTCTCAGTCTTCAATAGTCGTATCCTGACAATGGATTTTTAACCGTCCCTCTGTAACTTCAAATCACACATGAAATTTTCTTTGCAGAGACTTATTCATTTATTTCCATTTCTTCTGTCACTTTCGACTGTCATCTCTAAAACTCGACCCAATTTTCAATAACAACTAACTTACTAATTATTTTCAAAATGAACTCTCTGAACTTCTGACAACTAACTCTTCTCAACTGAACCCTTACACATCCTCTATTGTTAAGGTGTCTTTACTGATCCGTTGCTAACAATAGACGTCCTATTGTTGCAAGCGTTTGCTTTCGCGGAAATATGTCTACCGAGTCGTTGTTTAGCAATAGGTATACACGTTACCTTATGATACATTCTTTCATTTTACAGTCCAATTTTGACTTTTGTCTTTAACTCTATTTTGTTGTAATTTATACCGTAATTTCTGATAGTAAACTAACATAGACTTGCACCAGATATTTTTAAATATGTCCTACCTTCCTTTCCTTTCCAACTTCTATGCTAGATTTAGGGTAGACATCATTTTGACATCCTCTGATGAAACGAGGGTCTTCACTGAAACAACTCGCAATATATTTCGTCACGATGACATTCTAGTCACATCACGTGACAATTTCCTTCATTAAACAACATGCAGCATTGTACCTTCCTTTCAGAGAGACTATTCCATTCCGTGTTACTTCCGTTTACCCCTTTTTTTGCAACATTCTAATCACATTCCGTATCACCTGCAGTTGATTCAGTGCTTGGACACACGCGAGATCTGTTTCTGGATTATTTCAGCCAACTGACGGGAAGTTTTCGTGGTATAGTTCAGGAAAGAGCAGCACCGTATCAACGGGCTTCAGTTTCTGTCACGGATGTAACTGCCGACAAGGAGTATAATCAATCATCTTTGGCCTTCTCCTTCACCTGAGCTCCTTCCTTCTCGGAGACAAGTGGTTCAGTGCTCACAAAACTCAAATTCACGCCCCTGAACGTAGATGACTCTCGCCAGTTTTCGGCTGTGGACTTAATGATTTTAAGATTTTCTTGGTTTTGCGGTGTTTAACAGGCAACAGCATAATGTCACGAGTTGCCTCCACAAATCTTTTCTTCAGAAGATCCAAGAAATTAATTTCGGCAGGAGTGGTACAGCCCGGGTATTTAGAAGTGACAGTCCTCCAACGCGGAGTAGGAGAAGTATTGGTAGTGGCGGGGAGAGCTCCAGCATGCCGACAAGTGTGGAGGGGAATGCAGTACAGGCGTTCTCAGAAGGAAATAACTTCTTACCTCATTGTGTTGCATAGTGTTGGCGGCTTAGACTCGATGATGTCCACACATCCGATGTTAAGTTTTAAGTGCCGAATGGCAGACTGTTATGCACTATACACTATTATACACTTTTCACTATTATGTACATGAAGAGTTTATTTACATATTACACGGATCTATTCTAAAGGGGCAACACGGGCAATGTCCGCATAGATATCGTCTCCACATGCCTGTCCTTCCTCGTCACCACCAGATGAATCAGAGCTATCATCAGAACTGTCATCACTATCACCGCCAACATGGAAAGTTTTCTTCAACTTTTCGTGAATTTTTTTTCAGGGTAGGTCTCCGTTTATCGACTATGTAGAAGTCATTAATTGTTCTTCGCACCACAGACTCGTTTACGTCGTCCAAAGTGGCTAGTGGACATTTCCTAGGTCTTTCTTTATGGGGTGTTGAAAAGGAAGTGGAAGCCCCAGATTCGATATTTTTTGTTTCTCTTATTATTCTTCTGACACTACTTTGAGATACACCTGTTGACTTTGCTACTTCCACTCCTATGTTCTTTACTGTAATTGTTGGCCCAGCCTCTTCCTTATACTTATATACATTACTAACAATTTCTCTTGATTGTGAATGCAACACTTTTCCACTCAATTTACTTCGCGGTGAAGTAGAGAAATGTACAAATATAAATGAACAAAAGAGAAAATCAACGAATAAATATAAACAGTAAAATATAATATTAATACAGTAAATAGAGAATGATACACTCAAATACGACTCCAAGAGTCAAAACTTTTAACTTGACTGTACAAGGAAGAATGTTTTAACTGAACTTGAGACGTCTGCTCGCACTGAAAACAAACGAATGACTAATCACAACACCCCTCCACTTTCACGAATGGACCTGCCCATCCACTGCGCAGCTTTTTCTGGACTGTCACTTCCTAATACCCGGGCAGTACTTGAGACGTTTGAAAGAATAGATTTGATAGAATGAAATTTGATCTGTCAGTGGCACGTAACATCTTCACGCATGCCAACATAGGACAGAGGTTCTGCCTTCTGGGATATAACGCCGTATAATCCGTTGAAAGTCAACCGACTTTTCGGATGTACATGTCTTCTCCATCTTCAGGGTCGAAAAATCAACCAAGCAAGATACCAACATAAAGCAGGTAATTAACATGTTAGTCTGATCGCAGATTTCACGCCGATATATCGTATAGATGTTAATCCTCTCTAACACGGTGACTATGGGTTCAGATCCCACACACGGAGTGTGGATGTTTGTCCACGTTTACTCTGTGTATGTGTTGTCGTGTGTAGGTAGAAGCCATACCATGGGCTGATCCCCATCCAAGGTGGCGTACAAACTGCCTAATGCTTCGTACTTTCAGAAGTTAATTTTAAATTACAACAGGCCATAGGGCCCAATTCGTAAAGCAGAAGATTAAGAAGAAGAAGATGAAGTTGAAAGCAGGCATAATTCATTCAAAGCAATGAGAGTATTGAAACTGGAGGTAATTTATAGGTCTTTGCATGTAGCTAATTCATGCGGAAATTATAAATTGTAATGCGGATGAAATTACATTGTATTAAGGTCTTTTATAAGAGCTTCATAAATTCAGTTATTCTACAAGTATTCTTTCTATAAGATGTCAGAAATCACAAAATATCCCAGCGTGTTACTCGAAGTTTAGTGTGATGCAGAACAACAGAATAATTATACAATTTAATTAAATATTCCTCTTAATGTTAAAATGTGATTCCATGCATGCACTGATGACAGAATATGCCAAATTATCCAAATATGAGTCATGTATAGGGGTGGTTTATAAGACGGGGTTTGAATTGGATGACTGAATTTATTGCACCTTGTACATTCACACAACTCGGGACTACAGACAATGAAGCTGACCACTCACATCCATCTAGTGCCGACGTTAAGAATTGTGGAGCTATATCTCCACTCCCCCATGCGTCTTCATGGCATAGTGCTTAATTAATTAAGCAGAGAGACAACATTAACCATTACTTTTATACAAATAAATATATTAAGCCTGGTACATGTTGTTTATATATGCTTTTGGCTATATTAAATTAAGATTTCAACGTTCAACACATGAGGCAACAAAGTCGCCGTCCTCTCGTGTCGATGCTTCGACGGAAAAAGAGTCTTAAGCTGAGGAAAAGAACACAGGACTCCTGTAGAGCTCGCAGGTGTGCGGTCCCTTCACACTATACGTAACGTCAAAGAGAGGAGAACCACCTGAACACCGAAAACATACTCGAGTATTTATGTTGACCTCCACCCATTTGACCTCTCTACGACCGGAAAGCACCGACACGTCACAACGTTCCTCCGTCGGCCGTTGCCGATCAGTGGCCATCAGTGATCAAAGCAGCAAAATACAGTATATTTTATATATCCTGTGACGGCCAGATTCCCGTGTGAAAAAAAAAAGAGAAAACCGCCACTGAAATTGAAGGATTTACGCTTGTTTACTGCTAGTGAGACTTGCAGTCCAAGGATGCGTGTTATACAAACAAGTACTACATTATCGAAATAAATACGATGTACATCGTTCACATCTCTGGAAGAGGCGACAGTGACATTCCAGCAACATTCTCGTCGGAACGGGCCTCATTTGTTTCGCTTTTATTGTTTCATACGTTTTGTTAAAACACCAAAATAGTCAGAATTATTATTCTGATTTTCTAACAGTCATTTAAACCTCTTGTACATAATTATTTTTATACACGTTTTGTGGATGCTGAAATTCTGTTCTCTGATTGGAAGCGGCTGATATGGCAACTGGACACCTGTGCTGTGTAAGTATGATGTATCAGTATAAACAAGAGTCAGCACTGATAGCCACTAAATTCGGAAAACCTTAGCTGATTTCCATTACACTAAAATTAACTGCGAATATCCTTGTGATGTTTACGCAGCGGTGACAGTGAAAGCTGTGATCTTCTTAATTGTATAGCCATGTAGCTCGGTACAAGTCCGTCGACGTTTCAGAGAAACTTATAACCTCGATCATCAGGATCAAAATGTAAAACCAGATAAGTTATCAGTAAGGAAGAGACGGAAAATTATGACTTTGCTCTGCTTTCCGCCTGCTTCTTGTTGATTTCCTAATTGGCTTGCATTTGGGCCCTGAAGATGGAGACGATATGTTCCTCCGAAATACTTGGCGTCACAACACAGAAAATCGTTCTATTCATTATGGTTGTAGCTTAAGGAATAACCAGTCACAGTCTGTTAAGACCAATCAAATATTTCGCGTATAAGATTCAAATTGAGTAAGGTAAAGATAAAGCTATCGCTGTAAGAGGCAGTAGAGGCCCATAGGGTTGAGAGACGTCGAGGCTACCACATTTTTCTAGAAAATCGACTCACAGCTGACTCTGATGTAAAATTCAGATCGAATATTACGAAATGATATATGCATACATAAAGTTAAGTTATCCAACTGGAAAGTCTGTAAAGGGAAAAAGGGTTATTAGTCAACCACCTTCTGATTTCTTGCATGCAATTGAAATTGCATTAACGTGTTATGACTTATGAGCAACTGTCAATAATTTCGTTGAGAAATTTAGTGTTTCCCCCCCCCCTCCGCCGCTTGTCTCTAGTTAAGATATTGTGCATATTTCTGCCATGTAATATTTACAATAGTTCTACATAAATACTAGAAACTTTACCAGAGTAATTTTCGAACTCCGTGTGGCAGAAGTCGAGAGTCAGATGTACGTTATTTATTTTTAGATTCATTTTGAAAGTAAATAAATGATGGAAGACTAATGTATGGCGAAAATTTTACCTTAGAGAGTCCCAAATCAGCAAATGTAAATAAAAAAGCAACATAATATTTTCGTATTAGTCTGTGTTACCAATTGTAGTAAATTGTATTATATTCTGACATCCGTTTCCGGGGGATTCCAAAATTCAAATAATGTGATTATTGTGTTTGCATACTAGCAACAAGTTGCGGGAAATAACCAGAGACTTAATTATGGTACGCAGAACTTCAGTAACCTCACCGCCATCTGTGAGCCCTATTTTCTAGAAATGTCGGGTCCTCGACATCACACAGTCCTACGGGCCTCCACGGCCTCTTACATTGATAGCTTTACCTTACCTTTCACGTAGGAATTGAGGTTCTCACAGCGGTGGATATAAAGAGTTATAATCTGAGATATTAGTCCGTTCAAAGTCAACCGACGTTTCGAAGGAACATGTCTCCATTTTCAGTGTCGATGAATAAGCCAAGCATGAAACAGAGCTTACTTATTCTTCGACCCTGAAGATGGTGGCGATATGTTTCTCAGAAACATCGGTTCATTTTCAACGGACTACACGGCGTTACATCCAATAGTGACGGTGCGCCGCAACGACGCGCAGTGATGCGCAGTGTTCCTGCGCAGTGGTCGTGCTGTGAACGGTAGTCCCAAGTGAGACAGAGAGGGACAAAGAATGGCGTTTCTGAGATGCACCTCGCTCGCACTGAATTGCAGTCGCGCTTCTGGTTGTTATGGACGGTACAGCTGTACCGGATTGCTACTTACCAATCGTGCATTTTCTTAAGAAATTTCGCGAAAATCAGTTGTGGCAGTATATTTTAGGTAGCTGTGTGACAATATGTTTCATTGTGCTGCTAATGCAGGCAGAGAAGGAAACTCCCAACAGAAATGCAATCGCAATGTTTGGCACATTTTAGAAAACAGTAAGTAAACAAAACAGTAAGCGCTGCGCCATGAAGAGGAGAGTGGATGTACAGATCTACACATTCACTTCGGCAGTAGTTGAAGTTGAGTGGCCAGGTTCAAGACTCGGGGAAAGAGCCCCTGATACGCATTAGAGAGGAGGCTGGGTGGGTCCCAATGGCCGGTCCGGACGACGTGGAGAGGAGAAATATCTTGCCCTACCGGGACTCGAACACAGATCCCTTGGCCGTTCAACCCGTAGCTAATCCATTGCCAACTGCACATTTGTAGGACGTAGTGCCGAAGAATATTTCAGTCTCACATAAAGACATTGTGTTGAGTCTGAAGGACCGCCTCTGTGTTCTAGTGGTCAGCGTTCATGGCTACAGATCCAGAGGTTCCAGCGCTACCAGATTTTCTGAGAAGTAGTGGGGCTGGAACTGGGTCCACTCAGCCTCATGAGGACAATGGAAAAGTAGCGGCTCCGGTCTATAAATCCGAGATTAACGGCCGTGGGGATCCGTTGTGCTGACCACGCGACACCCTTTATCCGCAAACGTTGGCACTAACTTCGCTGACAAGCGGCGGTTGGTCGGTCGATATAGTTCGCTTGCGGACTGCGGGTCACGGAGTTTCTTTTTTGTGTTTGTTTTGTTGTTCAGCCTGAAGCTGGAGTCTCTGTGGTCCTTTTTCTCGTGATATTCTCTGCCGAGTGTGTCTTGACAATGCTATAGTCCTGTCGGACTGAGAGTCGCAAATTGCTTCGTGGAATAGTGAAACTGAATGTCGTATAAATCTGTTTTAGTCCTAAGTTCCGGAAAATTAAAATTAATTTTTAATACAGAGTGATTTTCACTCGGAGAAATGACCAAATTAATAATCATAAATCATGCAGTAATTAACCAGTGTAAATAAAACATGGCCGGTACATAGCTTGAAAAATGTAGAGATAATTATGTTATAAAAGATTTTAAAATTAGCTTACCTCTGCCTGGAGGCGCAGGCCGCCATAGCCCTCCATGTCCCTTATACGCCATTCCGCAGCATAACACGTGGGATCACAGACCGATGAAAATGGCACGGGTGGGGCAAGCAGGCACCACGTCGGTTTTTGCAAAATACACCTTGCGTTCAGGTTTCGGTTTCATCGGTAATTTTCTGCTTGATTTACAATTATTAATTTGTGGTCTCCTTGGGGTGAATCTTACTGTATAAGATTTTCCAACGGAACCTCACAGTATTTTGCCGTATGATTCTTTCTAACGGAACATAATTTTCCTTAGGCCGTTAGATTAAAATATATTTGGCCCGAAGCCTTTTTTGTAGCATTTCCTTCCACAGGTCAGGCTAATTTAAGATGATTTTCATTAATTCTGGCTGCTTTGCTTACGAACCTCAAGCAGTAATTCCTTTCATATATTGTCACGATTTACAGTGATTGTTAAGGGGAGTTTTGAATTGAATGTTTGGATTTATTGCACTTATACACTCAACACGTAATTACACGTGCTACAGAGCCACCGCTTTTCTCCACACTTTACAGTGCATTGCTGCACACGGTAATCACGGAACACAAGCACAATCTTAAGCAGGGTCTTCTAGAGAAATCCAGGTTGGCTCAGCATGCATACGAAGAAGGTCACAGGGTAATCTGGGATGAAGCTAGGATCTTGGAGATTGAAAGCAACAGCAGATACAGGAAATACAAAGAATCAGCTCATATGGCATGTTCATCCAATCTGATCAGCCAACCCAGTTTGGATATTTCTCCCATATGGATCCCCCTCATCAATGAAGAGGTTAACAAACCAAAAAATGTATTTTTATGAATATTAGTGGCTTTCACTACTACTGCAAGTTTTCTTCCGGGGACTAGTCTGATTCCCGGAAGTCGCCATGGTGACACGATTCTTTATCCATGCAGATCAGGCATGCTTTATCCAGTTTTTACTTTCGTTTTTAACTGAATTCATGGAATATAACCCATACTTCTGTTTCTTTACATTGTTGACAAGTGCATGTTTGGCACAAATTTTCTATCATGTTTTTACTGCGATTTTATTCTTTCCTCCCACTGATGGAACCGGTTGTCGGTTGTTCATAGGTTGTTTCTACAGATCAAGGTTTATCCAGTGACTGAGACTAGCTCTTTCTAAGGGGCCCAACTGAGTAGGTTAAACCTTCCCTATCCACCTGAAGACGGAGACAGATCCAGTCTCCAAAACGTCGTGGTTTTTTGTCTTTTATATACCGGACGATGGGTGAAGTCCAAAATACGCCAAAAGAAGTACTGTAAACCAGTCATTACTATGCTCTGAACAGCTCAAACATCAATATTACAGCAGTACACAACAAACGCAGACAGTAAGGGATTGAAATATCAGAGCTTGAATTTATTTATTGAATTATATCGACATATCTCATAAATGTTCAGTTAAAATAAAGTAACTGGTTTGGAAATATTTTTTTGTGTGTCTGATGAACTTTTCCGTTTGTCCAGTGCTCGCTGATATATTAAGCTAACAAAATAGGACTGTTACATACATTGCAATAGCTGTTGTACGAGTGTGTATGAGTGTGGTTATGTGTGTATTTAGATAATAAGTTTTATTGTGTACGTTCTGATTCATGTAACCTGGCATTACCTTATATTCGCCCAAGGGAACAGAGAAACTTTTACGATTGCATTTTATGTACTTTAAGTGCAAGGCCTGAGGGTCTATCATGAAGAATGACGTAATGTCAAGTCACTTACGGATATGATACAATCATTTCTATAATTATTTCTCGTTTTAAAATTACACAAACCAGTACTAACACACAAGATTTTTCTTCTTGTGTTTAATTCCTACTGTTATCAATATAAAAAGCGGGAAACACGTTGTTGGCATGCTATAAAGCTATTAGTTAATTCAAGTAATAATAAATCACATGTAGATGTGTGGAGTAATTCCATCAATGAAACTTCCTTGTTTTACCTACTGAAGTGTAGCGTTCATTGCCAGATGTATTCTGTTTTACTCATTCTGGTTTATTTGAAGTTTGTACATATTACTGTTTCTGTGACAATCCATCATCTCTACTTAAGATAATTAACCCTTTAAAGCTCAGTGGTTACTATA